GCTTCTTTGAAGCAGTTTCTTCCTGGGCTGGTGGAGGAGCGAGAGAGCGACTGAGAGAGGAACGAGGCGGGAGGAAACCGAAGCCACTGAGCCGGAGAGCAGGACAGGCTTTGGTTGCTTCCTCCCTCCCTCCCCTTCTTTCATTTGTGTCCTTGATCCCTGATCCCAGCAGCATTCACCGAAGGCAAAGAAAGCCGCCATTTTTTATTTTATTTTTCTTTGCGGCCCAGTACAAAGTGATCCACGGACCGGTACTGGTCCGCGGCCCGGTGGTTGGGGACCCCTGGTGTAGAGTGTAGAAAATATAGCAAAAAAATTAGCAGGTACCAAAGCAGCAAATAAAACAGATATGGAATAGGCCACTTTTACACATCACACACAAAAAATACTTTTTATCTCTTATTTTATAACCTCAAAGTGTTGGGCTCTGACCAGAATATTTTAATGAAACTTGTTGTGAAATATTATTTCAGTTGAGAAAACAATTGAGGAAGTGGCCTTTCAATTCTTGGGCAATTAGCTGATTCGTAGAATGGTTACTTGACTAGTTACACACATCTACCAATAGGCAGTACCAAGTGTGCAACACATTTGATACTAGCAAGCTTTGTGGTTTAACATTTGTAGTGGTTTTAGCATCTTGATTTAGAACTGCTTACTCTTCTCTCTGTAATCTACCAGCATCTGATCTATCAATTACTGTATTTCATAGTTTCTCCTACATACTTTTCTTATTCTTATCAGTTTCCACCAGAAACAGAATCTGTCCTCTTGTTTTTAGCCATTCTGAATTGCAGCTTAAAAGGCCTGGCAAATGTCAGCAATTTGTAATTATCTTTTCACTTTATCAACCTTGTATTGTATATCTCAATCATGTTTTTTTTCAACTGTCCATTCTTTTCTAATGAATTCTATTTTGAGTTTTATCCGTTATTTACTATTCAAGCTGTGTTATCAGTAAAACTGAAGGTGGATTTATACTATTATGCTGAATTGATGTGAATTTTAAATGGAACAGACACAAATATATGCTGAAACCAGAATGGTACCTGCAGATAGCTGAGGATATTTTCACTTTTATTTCAAGAATGATTGTCACTGACCAGTTACTATCTAATTTCATTATTTTCAGGAAAAAAATACTTGAAATATAATAAAGTATCAATTATATAATAAGAAAATCACAGAGTTTGACTCAACTGTAGAAACTGCAATTGCCAATGTTCAATATCCTTCTGCAGTTTACATATTCAGAATTTTAAAAATAGAAGTCCTGAGATACAATTTTAATTATCTCTTAATACAGAAAAAAATGCTTCATTGCATTTATTAGCATGGAAATGCACATCATTTTAACTAGACGAATTCAAAACATTAAAACTTTACGATCAGGAAAAAAATGATGAATTCAGACATCTGAGTTAAAAGAGAACTTATTCACTTTGGTGTTGGGAAAAGTAAATCCATACATACATTTTATTATGAAAAGAACAGACAGATATTTTTCACACAGCATTCCACATCCCTACAGGAGCTCTGTTATTTAAATAAAAATTTATAATATTCAGTTACCATGTAAATGTTTTTTCAAATTAAACCTACGGCAAATATATTGGGAAAAAAAGCCTAGAGAATGGTCAAGATCCATATCTAAGAACAAAAAAAAAAATTAAAATTGTATTAAGAACTTTTCTGAACAGAGTTACAAAGTGTATTTACATATTGTACTATATAGCACAGGGGTCCCCAAACTTGGCAACTATAAGACTTGTGGACTTCAACTCCCAGAATTCTGGGGGTTGAAGTCCACAAGTCTTAAAGTTGCCAAGTTTGGAGACCTCTGATATAGCAGGAAAAGATCATTCCTTACTGGACTGGGATCAGTGGGGCAGGTTCCTTCTCTATGATTCTGATCAACATCAAACAGAGAAATCATTTCTCTAGGCAGCGAAGAAATATAGACAGCTGCCCCACAGGTGGTCCAAGAGATAATTTCCAAAATATCTGAGCCCAAAAGTCTTCACAACCATCAAAATTTAATTTGGGGTGATATAGTAACAGAAAGGAAGCACAGAATCATTTTTAGGTACGTAAGGACTCAACTTTAAACTGTTACAACAGATATTTGTACTGAGCAATACTTTCAAGTCACAAGTTAAATGAACATTTCCCCACAATTAATAGCTTAATTATATTCTTCGCCATAATGTTTTCTCATTATTTGCTGGATCGCTTTTCATCCTTGTCCTTTGTGTTCTGGTTCCTGTGCTTGCGCCTATGCCTGGGAGGAGAGTAGCTGACTCTTCTCCTAGACCGAAAACTAGGTTTGTAAGGATGCAGTCTGTGTCTCTTTGGTTTGGTTTCTTCTTCCCTGCTCTGACTTGGCTCAGATTCTTTATTTTCTTCTTGATGCTCCTGTTCTTGGTCTTGCTCTGTTGGTGAGTGCAATGTGTTCTTAATAGTGTTAATAAGAAATCTTTTATTTGTACTGGCAAGAGGACACTTCATCCTGCGAAAGTATCAAAAAGCAGTAATATAATATCTAAAATACACACAAAAATAAACATTATGAATATACAAAATGAGTACTACAGCTATTTTATTTTGGCTTTCCTTGTATGCCACCTAGTGTATACTTGAAGTACAGAAAGAAGCAGTCAAGACACGTGCATTTTATCACAGGTTTGCCCCCCTACCCAAAATCAAAGACTTAATTTCTTCATTAAAAGATATAGAATATCTAGTGACATCTGCACATCTGTTACAAATGTAATTATAGACATTCATGTGACAAAATAAACTCTAATAGATAGAAGCTTTTGCCACAATAAATTTGTTATGACATAAACCTTTGTGCTTTACTGTAAAAGATTTAACAGTTTTTCCTCGGCTATACACAAACAAGGAATTTAAATCCGACATGCTTCAACTATTTGATTCGTAAATTAAGTACACATATCAAAGCATTCTTATAAACCACTTATTTTTCGAATATTTGGTACATAATTATGTTCATTCTTAGACATTACTAAATTAATTACCAACACTGAAATTAAAATAATTGCAAACCAATATTCTTTCAGAAATAAGTGACAAATATGTCACAACTATTAAAAATCTCAAATCTCAAATCAGATTAAAATGACTATTTTCAGATAGGGAATATCCTCTATTTTCCATGGTGCCAAAAAATATTAACGGTAGATGGGAAAAATAGACTTGCTGGCTTCTTTTACTCTTCTTTCTTGATAAAAGACCTCACAAGTATTCCAGCTTTCTGAATTCAGAAAGAGGACCCCATCTTAAAAATGTCTTTGTGAGCTTTTTGTTTTTGTTATATTTGTTATATTTTGTTTTTGTTATATTTGTTATATTTTGTTATATTTGTTGACTATGCAACCATAGTGAGTTGACAGAATATGACAATTTCATGTGATTTATTTTCAAGTACTTAAAATAGCAATCATATCCTGCTGATTATTATGGTGCAACTTAGGATTCCAAGAATGTAGCATTAATTGCCAGAGTATTTTGATCTGATAAAATTAGGGCATCCAGTTAAACCTGTTTTTACAGCTCATTAATCCCACAGTAGCTACAAGGAATTTTCACTGGATATGAGTCTATTACTTACACTGAAGAAGGAAAGTGCTACCAGGTTCCTGAGAAAGTAAAATTGTTTCTACACTTGCAACCACATGCCATAAATTCATCCAAGAGTAACAGCATTATTGGAGTCTCTAGAATACCAGTATCATCTATTTCCATTAAAAAAAATAAGAGCTTCTGACGGGTGGCCAAGTAAGGTCTCTTTTCAAATAGGAAGAATGGAATTACTTAGACATATTTCATTCTTTTTCTTTCTATATAGCACTCCAAGTAGACATTCATATATCTCTGTTTTCATTTCAGAAATATAGAAAGATTCTAGAGAAATGTTTTACCAGAAAATGTGTTCAAATGTTTAAGACAATTACAGCTAGATACTGAATATAATAGACAATGACCAACATAATTTCCAAACAAGTAAGAAAAACTATACATAAAAGAAACTAATTCTTATTCTTAGTTATGTGTCTGTCTACTTACCAACAAAAAATACAATATTTTAATCCACTGGTGAAGAATTTATATAACAATGCTCACTATGCATTCTTACTCTAGTCCCTAGTGAAACTTATTTATTAAAGCACATTTGAAATTGCAATGTTTAGGATTTTTTTAAAATAAATATTATTTTAAAACATTACTATATTTAGCTTGAAGAACTTACCAGCCCATGGGCCCCATTGTTTCTGCTCTAGTTTTCCCACGCTTAGCTTCTGTCAATAGCTCTTCCACTGCCTTCCTAAATATTAAAAACAAATATTAATTTAACATTTCTTCCAATACCTTTGGAATGTGGGTGTGTTTCTTTCATCCAACAGTAATGCAGATTATTACAATTCACTCAAACTGCAGTCCCTGAATCAAAATCAAACTATAATAATTGAAATTCAGATTGCAAATAATAATCTTTCATGTTCTAGATCCCATTAGTCACTGGACAGACACTTAGGCATTTATCTAGAGAGTCGCTATCTAGGCAGCCAGTTAGGTATATAATTAAGGTACCAATCTACAAGTAGCCTATAACTTTAATCCTCCCTTAGGCACAGAAACCAGCTGGGTAACTTTGGACTAATCATTCTTTCTCAGGCCAAACCACCCTCCCAGAGTTTTTGTGGTAGAAATAAAAGGATGTAAAGATACGTTAAGATTTCTTTTATCACATTTGAGATACCTCTACTCGATTTTTCCTCCACTTGATGCATAGAGCTTGTCAGCTATATAAATTGGGGAAAATGTTTTAATTTTAATTATATTAAAATTGGTTAAAATCTCATATGGACACAAGGAAATCAGCAGAGAGATTGGTAACAGTAATATATTGTGATCATGAATAATTTGTCCAATATTGGGTTTTTGTATGGATTAATTTTCCCATTAGAATTACAGCATATACTTTTATTCCACTTACATTACTTATCCTTAATATAACTTTATAGACTGGGGTTAAGGTACCCACAAGATAAGTTAACCCAAGTACATCTCCTTAGAGTACCTGACTTTTTATAAAGTCTATTTTTAAGTGGGAAGTTGCAATGCTGATCACTAAGTTTTATTTGCAATAATATATCTAGCTTTCTCACAGCTCTCTAGGCACTGATACAATATTCACCTGTATTATGGAAGGTGGAGTCATCATATACACTTTACTCTATTTGCTACCTAATTTATCAGACATCTGAATCTTTTGATCTCTTTTTCTAATCCTGATATTGATGCTAATTAATTGTGGAAAACTGATTTTAATTCAGATTGTTCTAGGTGATGGTGGAAGCTTTAATCTCACTCTTCTAGTTATCTAAACATTAGGGGTGAGGCATTTCTATCAATTACAATAATAAAGTTTTTAAACTGATTTAGGGGTAAAGAAGAGGCTGAACAAAAAGGTGTGTTTTGACCCCTGCCCTTTACCTAGTATACCTATTTTTTCACACTTCAAAGAATTTCACAGGAACAAAAAGACTTTTTTAAAAAAAGACTTGAAATTTCTGATCCCAAGAGAAAAAAAATGCCTTCTTGCATGAATATACAGAGATATTTATAAGGGAACTATGATAGTGTGTATGCTGCCATTTGTGCACCCATTTATCTCTTTTAAGAGTTAAAGTATTCTGCAAAATAGAATTAGGGTTTTGAGAACAAAAAAATTTCAGACTATGTTAACATTCATTATTCTTCCCTCCCTAGTCAATTATTTTCTAGCTGTAAATGGATCACACTGGAGTTATACTACTTGCCAATACTGTATCTTGAGTGTACCATTCCAACACTTGTAAATTGTTGATGGGATACAGGAAACAGCATGTTGGCTTGCAAGGTGGCTCTAGATCAGGGGTCCCCAACCACCGGGCCGCGGACCGGTCCCGGTCCATGGAACATTTCCTACCGGGCCACTGGTTTGCTGGGTGCCGCCATCTTGTTTGACGAGAAAGTGCTTCCGGGTGAGCTTTTCCGCTTGGAAAGCGGCGTTTGGGTCCTGAAGGAATCCTCGCGCCTTAGTTTCATCGAAGGGGGGGGAGGGCTTCGAACGAAACTAAGGCGCGAGGATTCTTTCAGCACCCAAGGCAAGGCGAGCCGAGCAACTGTCCCGAAGCCGTCCCGAAGCCCATCGACAAAGGTACAAAGGAGGAGTTGAAGGTGGCGGGGGTGGGGGACGGCCGGCTGGCCGGTCGCTCGGCTTGCCTTGTCATGCGTGCTGATGCCAGTACCAGGCCGCGGCACAAAAAAGGTTGGGGGCCACTGCTCTAGAGCAGGGATCCCCAACCTTTT